AGTTGCGGCGGGAGGAAGGCGGGTCTGGCGGCGCTTCCCCCCCCCACGCATGAAGAACTCCGCGTCCCAGGGAGCACCGCGCGCGCGCTCTCTGTTGTCGTGCCGCCGCCTTTCAGTGGTGCGGTTGTTCGTGGCGCTCTTTCGGGTCCGCAGCGCCTCCGTTCTTTCTCCCTTCCTCTGCCGGGCCCGGCGCTGCTTCCCGCCCGCATCCCCCCTCCCCCTTCGCGGTCGGCGCGTTCACGCCAGTCCCCGGCTTCGCTCGAGGCCTACGTCCCCTTCCGCCTCCTCCGTCGGCCGGTGACATGGCGCGGCCGTCTGTGCCCAGCTCGCAGAAGGCCCTGCTGCTGGAGCTGAAGGGGCTTCAGGAGGAGCCCGTGGAGGGGTTCCGAGTCAGCCTGGTGGACGAGGGGGACCTCTACAACTGGGAGGTGGCCATCTTCGGGCCCCCCAACACGCATTACGAAGGTGGCTATTTCAAGGTAAGGAGGGGGGTGTCTGTCTGGGGGGGCATCCTTCCCTATTTGGGGGTCTCTAGGCGGGTTGGATTACAGCTCCCATCGTCCACGGCCAGCCGAGCGGGAGCTTGACCATCAGTCTTGGTCTTGCCGAGGTGGACCTCGAGGCCAGAGACCGTATCCTGGGATGGTGGGGATTGCGTTTGACCCGATGAACAAATTTCTGCGAAGCCGGTCAGGAAGGAAGGGTGAAAATCCTTGAAGTACAAAACCAGGAAACCGTGGCGTCAGATCCCGCCAGTTTGAAAGGTGCAAACGAGGGTGTGAAAAGATGAAAGGGGAAGGTAGACTGAAAATCTCGGTGTGGACTATGCAGCTGTGATGCCTGCCATCCTGCGTCCCATCTGAGAATAAGAAAATGGACTTTCTTCTGAGGAGACCCATACAAGGCGGCATCATAAATCCGTCAGTCTAGTAGTAAACAAAACACCACAGTCCTGGCTTGGTTCCTGCTGAGGAAGTGCCACCAAACTCGGTAGATCAAACCCTGTTCTGAGAAATCGAGCTTCTAAGAATAAATCCTCCACTGGGTACCAAATTACTTCTGATAAACACGTGCGCAGTTGTGCTGGCTATTGCTCGTGTTTATGTTGTGTTCCTTGTCACAATAATGGCACTTTTCAGTTTCTTGGGTTTTATGTTGGCCAGAATTACTGTATGATAATTTTTTATTTATTTGATTTTTTCCCCCCTTTTTTGTACCTCTCCTTAAAGGAGTCATGGTTATAAACAATAGCGTGAGCAAGTAATGGTGTGTGTGTGTTTTAACATCCCATTTCCTGTTTACCGGATTGCTTTCCAGATGTATGGGTCATAGTAGTTAGGGGAATAGGAATGATAGTCTAACACTGAGGGAATAATATTGAGGAAGACTAAAAAAAGGTTTAGCTATTTAAACTCCCCTCTTGCGTTTTCCATAAAAGAATTTAAATTATTGAAAGAGTCGTTCTGGATCAATAACATTAGAAATTGAGCAGGATAACCTTTTTACTTTTATCCCCCCAGTTTTATTTCTCCTCAAAGCACAAACATTTTTCAGGGTAACTTTGCAATGTTTAGAATCATTCCTTCAATAATAGGAACAATTCCTGGTAGTAGACATTTGGCTATACGTTTTCCCCTTCGCTTAATAAATAATAGAAATGGTGTCCTATAAATTATAAGGATGTGAATGAGCTATTATCTTGTCCTTATTGAAATAAAGAGCATTGACTTGTATATCTTCAAAATAATGAATTGCTGAAACTTTTCTATGTATTAATTATAGAAATCTTGTATAAGTTTAATACTGATGTTTACTGTTTTTATGAGATCTTGTTTATGGTTTTTATTGTTAGCCATCTTGGCCCATGGGCTTATTCAGAAATCTGTTTTCAGGAGATCTTACCTCCAGCATGTATAAACTTTCAACCTTTCATTTTCTACAAACTAGTATCAGGTTTTCATATCATTTATGAGTAGCCTCTCCCACTTCCTTTAGAGGAACTAGAATGATGGTATCTGATAACCTCAAGTTAAATAAGATTTTTGAAGCAATTATAAACTGCTTTATTAGCAGCCAGATTAAGATGGCTTTTAATCGCTGAAAGTTAATTCTGGACACCTTTTAACAGGCTACATGTTAATATGGTTAATTCTGCTTATGGTTCACATCCTTTAAAGACTAGGGTCAGTTGATTAAAGGACAGAGGTGGGATAATGAGTGGAATTATAGTGGGAGGAGGAAGAACTCCTGATGACTTAACGGATAAGTCTGTGTGATTTTTTTGGCACCCTATCTGCCTTTTTCTGGGATCTATCTGGTCTGCAACCTGGGATTTCCATTTCATTCCCCATCCAAGAACTAACTAGGTCCAGTCCTGTGTAGCCTTTTTGAGATCAGCCAGGGTCAACTACGTGCTGCCAGTGCTGTGGGATTTTAGCTGGCAACAGCAGAAAAATAATTTCTGGATTTAGAGCATCCATTCCCAAACCCAAATGCCATTTCTGGACAATAGTTCCCCTAAACCCCAACTGTTGGCTAGAAAGGATTTGTAGACAGGGAATCATCATCATCCAACTGTCTGAGAAACATCATATCATATAGCCTGATGCTGAACTGTGTTGAAGTGCAGCCAACACGTCGAGAAGGCATTAGATTGGTGAAGGTGCACCAGCAGCGGGTATGAAGTGACCTTTTGTTTCATTACCAGTCTGGTAAGAGGACTAGAGTTATGAATAAGTGAAGGTTTGTTTTCTGGGCAAACAGGTAACAGGTCATAGATGAATCTAGGGGAAGTGAAATACAGGCTTTTCCTCTGAATAAAATCTGGCCAAGGAGGAACACATTTTCAAGGTTTATAGGCTTGTTTTGCAATTCTCTACTTCCTGCCATGGTCTCATTTCCTTTCTCCCAGGCCTAGGAGGAGTCATGGATGAGTCACCCCAGAGTCGGTTGTGATCGACTAATAAAGGCAGGTGCTGTTTTCCCTCAACTGTCTCAGCTTAAGCCTCAGGGTACATAGCAACCTGTGGTGATTCGATAAGCATCCTGACGGCTTATCTCATTCGGCTGGGCAAGGAAGATATATTTTGCACATCAATACATTTAGTGCTTCAGTTGTTTCATGTGCATTAAAGAGCATTCAGAGATCCTTATGAAGTAGGCCAGGTGTATCGTCCTGATGTAGCAGGGAGGAATGTCGAGTCTGAGCCATAATCTTGCCTGAGGTCATCTAAATGACCTAATGTTTGTTGCAGAGCAGTGCCTTTATAATAACCAATATAACCAACCCGAATGACATACAAAAATGTGCAAGGCTGGAAGTTCTCCAGGAGCTCCTCAAGCAAGATGTTAAAAGAAACAGAATGGGAAAGAAGCAAGAACATTCAAAACTACCCAGATGTTTCAACCATGAGGTTTCAGGATGGTGATAGGAAGTCATCTATCAGGATGGTGATTGGAAACTGAATGCATTGGTCAATAGGACATTGGTTAGTGTCAGGTACACCCTAATATTCAGGGACAAAGAACAGGTTCTGACTCAGTCTAATCCAGCTGCAGCTGCAGTGAAAGGTGAATCAAGGTTTCCTAATTCACCCCTTCTCACTTAGTCTGCTGATGTTTTATTTTGGGGGTGGGAAGTGGGCAACTGTCTTTGTAGCTTGATTCATTTACCTAAATCAGCCAGAGCTGGCCTCTTCAATATGAGAAGAGCTATCGCTCAGGGTTGAAACACCTCCAGAAGATCCTAGGGTGCGCTCTCATTACCCACCCACCCCACCTTGTGGGACCAAGAAAGACCATTTGAAACCCTACAGGTTGCAAATTGTGGAGCTCCATGTCCCAAGAGGTGAAGTCAGCCACTCACTTCTGGATGTAGAGGGGGAATGATATAAATGGGGCATTTGCCTATGGTTTCCTGTTAACAACAGCATTAGATCTTTAGTTTAAAGAGCCAGTCTTCCATTGCACAACAGCTACTGAAAAGTAAAGACAGGAGGAAGCTGGTGCCTGTTGATGTCTTCCCAAAGGTCTTTAGAAATGTAGAGAGGGTTATTTTTCTGTTGCTTCTCTGACAACAAAGGATTTTTTTTTTGGGCCATCTTTTCATTGTATTTATTGTGTTGTGGTCTTTTTCTCATCCTAGAGAAGATCTGTCTAACAGTTGACATCAATTTGATGGCTCATAATCAAGCAGTGGCCTTTTTTTACTCCTACGTGGGATTGGGCACACTCCCAAATATCACAAAATGTTTTAGAAATGTTAAGCTTTCTCCCTCACTCCCACTCAAGCCAGGTCGTATTCGTTCATCTGGTCCTACCCCTCTTCCAAGGCTTTTGTGACAAAAGGGCAGGTCTTGATCCTCAAAAAGGTACACGATGTAGATGGCTCTTAACAGAAGAAGACACTTGCTCCATACGCAGTGTTGTATGTATGTGGAAAGAAGAGGATGTAAGAACATTGAAGCATGTTCAGAATTAAGGGCTTATATGAACTTGATTGTTTACTCACAGAAATCTGGTTCACACAGTGTAATGGAGTGGGGTGGCTCATACATTAAATTTAATTAATTAGTATACCCCGTTAAGCCAAGGCCTTATATTCCATTAACCCAAGTTGGTGTTGGCATTCACCCAACCTTATAAAGCCGAAAGCTCTGATTATAAGCCACAGCAACCTGTTTCATATGGAAATTTTATATGGCTGCTCTTCTTAAATAAATAAATCTGGGCAGCTAACAACCAATCTGTAAGAAAAAAACAATATAATAAAGCCCCATAGACAGAATGAAATACAATTAAAAATAATCATAATACCTGTAATGGTCTGCTTAGACTAAGAAAATCTTTGCCCTAATGTCTTGGGGAAATAAATTCATTATAAATTTGAAGTAGTCCAGTTGCTGAGATTCTCCTGTTCTTTTCATTTTAATAAAATTGGTTAAAGAGGTTCCTGAGACTCTTGCTTGGAAATAAATAATTACTTTTGGTTGAGACAGTGGCCTAAGAGCCTGAACATCTCCCTTTCTAAAGATCCTAGAATAGGGGAGAGATGTTGGGTCATCTAATGATACAGAATTTTAGAACAGTCAGGACAGACAGAACAAATCTTCACCTAGTACACTGCTAATTTATGAATTTCTGCAAAACGTTAGAGCTCTCCCGCTCTGTGAATTTTGGCTATTTAAGGCTATGGTGTCTTTTTATTGAACCTCCAGATTCAGAAGCAGTAGGCTATTAAATACCAGATGCTCAGCAGTAACAGGAGGAAAGAATTGAAGCCTCTTCTCTCTTTTGGGGCACTGCTTTGACTCATCTGTATAGTCACGGTGGCTAGATTAAAGAGTATCTGCTGCGATTCAGTAGATTATCTCTTTTATTCTGAGTCCAGATTTTGATTTCTTCTCTTCCTTCCTCATTGAAAACCTGAAACTTTGGCAATAATTAACAGATCTGATTAAAAAAAAAAAAAAAGGTAGGC